CCTAATATTCTACTAAGCCCATAATGATACTAGTTTTTGTCTTTCCATCACCTCCAGTTTCTCTATCTCCCTCCCTCCCTCTCCCTCCCTCTCTCTATCTCCCTCTCTCCCACTTTCTCTAGGGAAGAAAAGGACTAAGACAGAGAATTCAGCCTTCTTAATTGTAAGCCTCATTAGTGATGGTTGCCAGGCAAATACACACCTATGAAAGAGGTAAACAATACGTCATAGATCATAATGACTCTTGTGCTTGGGGCAACCTTTAATTATTATATTTTTTGTTCTCTCTTACCTTAGCTATTAGAGAAGAAAAACATTTTTCTTCTGCAAAGAACATTAATATTCTGATGTCTAAATTATATTTTAATTAGTTCATCATTGCATGTAATCACCATTCCTTTATGTTTTCAGTAAATCTGATTTACTATTTGTAGATTGTTGAATTTTGTGTCATTACTAGAATTAATGAAAAGGCTGGTCAACTGTACAGTAGAATCTACTTGTCTAGCTTCAGTAGTGGCATGACAATTGTATATGAATGAAGCATTGATTCTTGGCATAAAAAGTTCAACAACCACAAACAGATTATCTATCAGAGGCATGTAATACAGTATCATGTTTATGATCATGGCTAACTACATTCCTAAAGGTATAAAATGGGCATAAGATGGCACGAGGACACAAATCTTATCTGCTTTTGTTCTCATTGTTCAAAATCAGAAAAAGTCTCTCTGTGTGTGTGTGTGTGTATGTGTGTGTGTAATGTATCTTGGAGGACATATATATTAGAGATCATATGACAATAAGCTCCTATTGATAGTTTTATTTTTTGTCAATTTATTGAGTACCTTTTGAAAGTCAGAGGTTAATGTGCATCACTACATCCCCTACAATCAAAATCCATATTTTAATTATAAACAGTGTCAAGAAGCAACATGTGAAGAAATAATTTTTATTTATTTATAAGCATGGCTTTGGAATTACTGAAAGAATTAAACTTTGAGTTTATCCTGATTTAGGGGAATGCAAGAAGCCATTCTTCAACATTGGTGAATGTAGTGTAAGTACAAGGTATCTCATAGAATACAGTATCATTACACCCACATCATAACCTTTGCAATTTGCTGACTCTCTGTATTAATTTTTATTTTAAGATGCAGGGAACATGGAAGAGAGAACTCTTGTTCTGTCCCAAGTGGCAAGGACATATAGCTCAATTCAGCCTACTAATGTCTATGGAGATTCTCAGTCATCCAGATCATGGTTGTCCCAAAGGTGCTTTTTTCAAGAGACAACTGGATTTTCTGGTTTTACTTTAAAGATGTTTTGCTTCTCATCCACTTCCCACCATCCAGTCAGAGCTAAAGAAGCTTCTTGAATGAGTAATGAAATCTCTTCGAAGAAAAACCAGAAAGTCCAGTTGCCTCTTGAAAAAAGCACCTTTGGATCAACCTACTGATATATTAAGGTAGATAAAATAGTTATTATTTGCAGAAGATCTTAATTTCTTGCCCAAGTAGCTTATAACTCAACATTAGGTCAACTAATTATTCTCCATTAATGGTATTTTTGCATTTCTGTTTCAATGTTAACAAAATATTGGTTGTGATGCCTGAATCCCTGAAATTGTTTTTCCCAAGACATTCAGGTGCCCCACATTTTTTTATTGTTCTGAAAAGCTATAAATCTTTTATTTTTCAAGCAGTTATTTCCATGTTTGTTATTTCTGTAGTTTAAGGATTAGCATCATGTCTCTTGATTTTTATTGTATTATTTATTCTGCTGTGGAAGATCATATATGTGGCAAAAAGTGGCCTATTAACGGTATAAATAAACACTGTTCTTACATGAAAAGAAAGCAGTGCTGACTTTAATATGTTTTCAGCTCCCAAAGGAAGATTAGGCAGGAAAAAAAACCTCTGATATGTATTATCTGAAAACCATTACTACATTGTCAGTGACAACTTTTCTATTTTAAATATAAATTATTTGGGGGAAATGTTATCTCTATTTCAGTAAAATGTAACATGTATTGCTTTATACTATTAGAAATATATCCATTATTACTCTACAGATTTGTTAGGTATCAGTGGCTCTTTCAATAAAAGTAACTGGGATTGGATTTGGCCTTAAGTAAATCCTAGATAAATATCAGATGTTAGATGCTTGAATATGCAACCTGCAGTGGTTGACAATGTTTTATTTTAGAGAATTGAAATTACCTTTTTCTAACATTTTTAAGGGGGGGGGGCAGAGAATAAAGAGACATAGTGCCTTAATATGCTGCATTAAGGCCCAGCCCAGTGAGTTGAGTGAAGTCATAGTAAATTCTTCACAAAAACTACCATTGATCAGGTTTTAAGGTTCTGTGCAAACTTACATTCATAATGATTTCAAAAAAGCCAAAGTAAAAGAAAAATCGAACTAAAACTGAAAAAGCTGTTAGCAAATAAATAGAAAAGAATAGAAAAGGGCTGAATATTGCAGATGTTGTAAGAAATTCTAAGTCAAAAGCAAATAAAGAAGGAACAACCTTCTTTTTAAAGTGGAATCAGAAAAGCTAATGCATTTTAATGGGATGAATCCGGAGGACAAAGAAACCATGAAAAATAAATAAATATGGTGGTGTGCAGAAAAAAAAATGGGGCAAAGAAAACATTGCAAATTAAAAAGCCATGTAAATGTGTGCCTACCATTTTCCAGATAAGAAGGGGCCGTACCTTCTGAGGGGTCAAGGCGGCGAGCCCGCCTTCCATGTTTGGAGTTGTTGTGTACAAACATGTTGTCTGAGACAGCCAGAACATGGCCATCCACATTGACTGTTGTTGATACAACAACCTGGGAGGGAAAGAAAGAAAAGAAAGACATTCTTTTTTTTGAAGCATACAGATTCTAAAAGTGGGGTGCACCTATTGCAATAAACATCATGCTGAAAAAAGGTATAATGTAGTATGCTATTTTGAACACAATGTTATTCATAGATGCAATTCACTCTCTCTTTTTTGGCTATCACTGGAGATTTTCCTACACACAATTCACCTCCCTTCCTCAACACTCTCCACACTAATTAGAGTTTAATCTCCTATTATGCTAACAAATGAATTCAATTCTAGGAAAATATTCTTCTAGTCATTTGTTTCAGAAACACCCCTCTAACCACTCATTTTAAAAGCTACTGTTTTGATTGATCTGTTGATATATTGATTAGATAGTTTATCTAATTAAAATTTGTACACTTGAGACTGTCTTCAAATGAAGAATTGTGAGCACTCCAAGTCAAATGGGAAAATACTTCATAAATCAGTAGCTATGTGTAACTTTCTGCTTTTCTCTTCAGAAATGATCTTTAGGTCATTTTTGCTATCGTATTTAGAAAGCAATCTTATAAATAGGTGTTATGGGACAAGGAATTTCCAAAAATAGAAGAATTGCCTCATTTAAAGATTGAAAAGGAAAAAAAGAAATGGCCCTCCATCTCACTGTAATAAACATTACCATTACTGGGCCTGATATAATTTGTCTCATATTATAGAAATATTTTGGGACAAAGGATGTCTTTGTTTTTATAAATTCAGCCTTTTAGCTTCTTCATGCAACTCACTTTTTTGGCGCTTCTTATAATCTGAGAAAAAGAAATCCAGAATAGATCTTAACACCTTCCTTGAGATTATATGATTGCAGCTATTCTAGCGCATCATAAAAATATCATAAAATATGAATGTTCTAACAAATTAGTTAGCAGGGTAAAAACAGACATAAGGAGATGTCCTTCATCTTCTTTCTGTTTTTTTTTAAAGAATATGCTTTCTGCATGCAGTACAGAAATATCCTTTCTAGCTACATACAATTATCTCACATCTGGTGAGATTCAGGAGACCATTGGATCTCCTCAGATCCAAATATTTCCTCACTTCTTTCCCCACTCAATTATCAGAATCATATTTCATGAAAATTCTAAATTTCTGTTTTTCGTCCTTGTCAGGAAAATAAAAAAGATTCACAAAATGCTATGAAAAGAACCAGGAGGAGATTAAGCTATGTTAGATTTGCACATCTATATCAGAACAATTCAAAATTCACCAAACAGAACTGATCCCCAAAGGGAGAAGGGATTAATCGCTCTCCAAAGAACTTTCAGAAGTTCTTTGCAGATGACACTTAGCTGGGGGGGAGGGCGGGCGGGGGGGCGGGGGGGGAATAGCCAACACCACAGAAGACAAGTTCTGGATCCAAAAAGATCTTAACAGACTTGAATAATGGGCCCTATCGAACACAATGAAATTTAATGTGAAGAAAAACAAGGTATTACACCTAGCGGGAAAAACCAAAGATACAAGTACAGATTAGGCAAAACCTGGCTCAAAAACAATAATTGTGAGAGGGACCTCGAAGTCCTAGTGGATGATCACTTAAACATGAGTCAGCAGTGTGCAGCAGCAGTCAAAATGTGAAGTTTTCATACCAGTTTATAAATCCTTAGTAAGACCACACCTGGAGTATTGCAACTACTTTTTGGTCACCTCATTACAAAAAAAGATGTTGAGACTTTGGAAAAAGTGTAGACAAGAGCAACTAAGATGGGCCTGGAGAAAAAAAAACATTTGAAGAATGGTTGCAGGAATTAAGTATGGCATAATAGAAGTATTCCAGTATTTGAGGGGCTGCCACAAGGAAGAGTGGGACCACTTATTTTCCAAAGCACCAGAAGGCAAGACAAGAAACAATGGTTGGAAACTAATCAAGGAGAGAAGAAACCTGGAATTAAGGAGAAACTTCCAAACAGCGAGGACAATTAACTGGTGGAACAGATTGCCTTCAGAAGTTCTAGACCCTTCATCACTGGAGTTTAAGAAAAGACTGAGCAGCCACCTGTCTGAAATGGTATGGGGTCTCCTGCTTGATTAGAGTAGAAGGGTCCCATCCAGTTCTATTCTGATTGATTGAATGCATTCTTAATGCCTGATAACTAATGTTTTCTGTAGCTGAAAAGAGCATATTGATTAGGAATATCAGAAATGTCTTCAGTCACTTCTAATGCAGAAAGTAGTCATAATCAACTTAAATCATATGTCGATTTATTCTACCATGACAATGACTTTTCCTTTTTTATCTTTAATTGGAACTCTTCTATTTCCAGCTTCAGAAGCACATTGACCAACCAGAACTAAATAGATCCAACCCTGTCTATTGCTATTGCTGTGTCAACCACAGGAAAATGGTGAATAAGGCTTCCAGACTGTTTCTTAGCACAAATTTTTAAATGAATTTTAAAATAAGTAAATAAATTTTAAAATGAATATTTGCAAAATTGAAAATTCTTGCATTAACACCTATCCATTAGATGTTAGATGCCATTCTAATAATTAATTATCATTATAATGAAAAGCCTTTCCGATTGCATTCACATGTACACTTATAAGATAAGATACTTTCATACATTGTATAGATTGTAAGGATTTTATATGTGCTTATAAGTCTACAAATTAAATTTAGAAAATTATATTAAAAAACTGAGACAGAAAATCCAGTGAGAACAATGTGTATAGTAGCTAAGGTTTTGGATTTTTTTAAAAAAATCCAGATTTTATTTTATTTTTATTTTATTAATTTTGTTTGTCAAACATGTACAAGATAACAAGTATAGATATGAACATAAACATGAACAAAGGAAATAAATACAGATAAATGGGCACAGTAAGACGGATGGTAGGCACGCTAGTGCGCTTATGCACGCCCCCTTTAAGGACCTCTTAAGAATGGGGTGAGCATCTTCAACCATGGATACTCATAGAGAGATGAAATGAATGGAACCACACCCTTGTTCTGTATCCAAATACCTTACAGCAGGGGTCCCCAATACCAGTTCACAGCCGTTACAGGTCCGTGGCCTGTAGGGAACTGGCCCACCCAAGCAGCAGGAGGGCATGCGAAACTTCATTTGCACATGCACAAGATCTAGACCGCATGCGCAAAACTATCCCTCCCCAACTGCCACTGCCGGCACCGGTCCATGGAGCCAGAAAAGATGGAGACTGCTACCTTACAGGATTGTTGTGAGTCTGTAGTTAAGGTAGTATATTAATCTAACATATCAATTTTTAAAAATGTTTCTCGACTCCTGTACTGTTATTTCTGTGTTTCTTTTTCTAATGGACCCCTTCTTTTTTTCTAGTACAAGATTGGGGAAGGTTCTGGGCACATTGACAAAATCACATGGTGTCTTGAAAGAAAAGAAAGGAAGAACTTACAATGGTATCACAGATAAATTAATGCAATATATACTTTCCCTTTGGAAACCAGGGAGTACAGGGCATCAGATGTAAATTCTTTTGTATTTTCAATATTTTGTATTTTGTATTTTCACCTTTGATCCTGTTTTTTTCCACATGCTCTAATTAGCTATCAGCTATTATAGCACCTTCTCCTGTATATTCGGCCTCCTCTGAGGCAGCCATCTGTGTTCCCCTTGAGAAAAGCCTGAGGGTGTTTCTCTAGAAGCCTGTGATTCTGCAGCCTGCACTGTTTTCTCAGGAAAAAAGAAAGTAAAGCAAAACAACCCTCCCTCCAAAAAAAAAAAAAAAAAAAACCACCACATGCACAGACTGTATTGTTTGTCTAGGTTATCCATTTTAAGGGACTCACACTGTTAACTATTTACAACATTTTTAATTCCATCCCTACCTTATCAGGCTAGTGGTTTTTAGCTTTCGTGAGTTATAAGGTGATTAGTACACCCGTTCCAGAATTGAACTGTCACAACAATTGTCCATAGAATGAAACATATTAAGTACAGTTCTAAGCCAAATTTTTGTCTCAATTTTTTCCCCTAATTGATAGACCCAAAATATAATTTTTAAAGGATAATGTCTTTAAAATAGGCACTACAAATATGTCACAGAGTAATGATAATAGTGGGGAGGGGAGAGATGGTGTTGTCCACAAAAATACATTTGCATTCTCCTTAATTTCATTTGGTTAGCTCCTTTTTGCAATGCATCTAATGAAACTGCTGACACATATATTTTTAAAACAGATTTAAAATCTTGTTTAAGATCTGACATCCTGTTAAATCTACTTAAACATTGTAAGAAGCCAGCTTATTCTCTATGGAAGCTGAAGGAAGACTTTCTAGGAGTTCTGTTGCAGCTATATGATTACCTATGACTGGTGAGACAAGTGGATATTTCTACGAATTCCAGGTTTTAAATTCAAGCGAATGCCAATTTCAAAGATTTTATCTTTCCTTTAAAATGTATTTGGTAGGTCTACCAATTGGAAAAAAAAGTAAAGGTAAAATCTTCAGTTAGAACTGTATTTAACACAAGGAGTCTTCGCTTAATGATTAGTCACTGAGATCATTCAAAGTTACTACAGCCTTGGAAAGGGTGCTTTAAAATCTGTATTAGCATTTCCAACCATTGTAAAATGTGGCATTTAGACATAGAGTAACAGAGTTAGAAGAGACCTTGGAGGTCATCTAGTCCGACCCTCTGCTCTATCAGTAGAGTCTATTCCAAATATTAGCCTCTACCTGGGATCGAACTCACAGCCTCCTGATTGTGAGATGAGAGCTCCACCTCTAGGCCACCACATTGTCCCTCCCTGTGGTCATGTGACTACAGGCCAGGCTTTAAGCAACCAGCTCACATTTATAACAAGCTGCAAGATCCTGTGGTCATATGATGACGATTGGCAACTTTTTTTTTTGCCATTTTCCATAATATAGATATATATAACCACTGGTTGAAAGTATAACATAAATTTTAAGATAAAACTTGGAACATTTCATATAAAACGATGGAATAAATAGTTTAGTCATGCATGATTAATAACTGATAAATATATAAACATATGTTAGTTTGACAATGTGAAGACTGATATAAATTGTGAGTAAATGATTACAAAAGTATAGCACAAAAGATACATAACCAACTGACACAGTGTATGTTTATAAAATGGAAGAGGATTTTATATTTTTATGTTTTTGTAGGTGTATGTTTGTGTTTAAAAATAAAAAAACTATTTTAAAAAAAAGGAAACTGCAAAAAATGCTCATTGCATATGCTGGATTAGCTTAATATCTATGTGGTTCAATATGACAGTTGTAAAAATGGTTATAAAATCAAATTAGGTCATGTGATGATATGCTTATCAACTGCCCTGAATTATAACCAAAATTCCAGGCCCAAGGGTTCTAAATCAAGGACCATCTGTATGCTTCATTTTATGGATAATTGTACTGACAATTCAACCAATTCAGCACTCTATGTGTTTCAATGGATCATTATTATCAATAAGACATAAACCTAAGATGCATGAAAATGAAGACTTCACAAAGTGTTGCTTTTTTATTTCCTATACTAGTATTTATGGCAGAATGAATAGTTTTATTGAATTAGGAAATTATGCATATCTGTCCTCTGCTATAGTCTTTGATAATGCTGTTGGTCTATTATGTTATTTTTTAATATTTCTCTTAATTTCTCCCACTTAGTGAAATTAATTATCTATTAAGGCATAAACTGTTCTATAGTTGTTTGGATTTACCAAGGTAGATTTGGAAAACAATTCTACTTCTCTCATATCAATATTTAAAAAATACTACATAAAAATTACAGTGATGAATCCAACATTCAAGAAATTCTATTTTTTTCTATAGAAATTATATTTTATCACATTTTTTGTGAAAAATACAGTAATTCAATAGCATAGACAAAGTTCTGAAGGTAGAAAAATTATTATCAGATATTTATAAGTTCTTAGAATTTGTTGCAAGGAGAATTATTCCTGCTTAGGTCTATTCAGATTTTCATAAGAGAAATAACTAAAATAGGAGTTTAAAGAACAAGATTGAAGTTTCTGTTTCTCTCCTGAAGGACAACTGAAAATATAAATTGCAATTAAATTAGAAAATAATTACGAGGGAAATGACAAACCTTGGTTAAATTTGCTACCTTGAGTGTTCTTTCCAAAGTGAATGTACTACTGAAATAAAATAATAGGCTTTCCCTCTGTAAAAATCCTTACAAATCCTCTGAATGTAATTTTAATTCTTTTTTAAAACTGTACCTGGAATCTTCGCATATCTCGTGGGTTTCCTGCATTCTTCAAACAGTTTTGATTGCACTTGAGGAAAAACTTTAGAAAAAATCTACAAAAATACAAAATTAGAATTGGTTAGAAAAATCAGCCATTAAGAATAAATGTTTAAGCATGTAACATGTTGCTACAAATTGCAAGTGATGGATAGCTGAAAATGTACTCATTGTATTACTGTAAAATGGTAATACATCTAAACTGAAGACTTTTCTTATAGCAACAATATATATGAACATCCTTTATTTGCACAAAGGATGGACTTGACCATCAAAAGATGCAATTCAGTGCAGATTGGTTTAATAATATTAATATTGCAATCCTAATAATGCTTATTCAGATGCAGTCATGATTCAGATTTCAGAATATCTACAATTTTATATCTCCGTATTCAAGAATAAGTCCCAAATAATTCAGCAAGATTAATTTTATCTGAAATATATTGTATTAGTATAGAAACAGAAACCAACATAAAATGAACATCTGGACTACTTTAAATTGTTATAGAATCTTACATTTTTCTACATGCTTTAGTCAAGAAGAATTATAGATTCTGGCCCAATTGCCTACACAGTATGAAATCTGCTTCCTGAAATATATGGAAAAATGAATTGAGTTTCTTTCATTCAGAAGGGGTTTGTCCCTATGAAGAAGTCTCCAAAATTTTCAGCATTCAAAGTTCAAACGTAAAACAAAGAAATAACCAAAACTTTTAATTTATAATTACTTTAGCAATTCCTGATGGAGAAGGCAAATTGAGAACTGGTGTGTGTGTGTGTTTTTAATAACCCTGAATGCCAGCTAAATCCTAACACAGTAAATCTATCAGCTGAATCAACAACAACATATAAGCCAGGATCTCCTTAACTCAGAGGCCTCCATTCTGGAAACCCAGAAGGTATGATTTTCTAGTCATTTTACTTTCCATAAAACTAGCTTCCTTTACCTCAGGAACATCATAAAGCACTGCTAATAATGTGACCAACATATAGGCATGAGCTGACTGAGAAATAATGCAGCATAGAGTCCAGGCTATAAACCTAAACTTTTAAGGCTGTCCATTTTTTTATGGAAGACATTTTCTGGCCAAAAGCTTTAGATGATTTCCATATTTTGCTAAAGTTAAGTCATCAGTCTGGAACTCTGCAACCTCCTGCAACATTAACTGATCCAATCTGCTGGCTAACTGAATTCTTTTAAATTAAAACTAGATATGAGAAGACAGGATTTTCACCATGACTATAATGGAAGGGCAACCTTAGGATTTCCTTCCTTTACCACAATCTGAATAAAAACTTTGTCTCTTGCTTCACTTGACCTTAAGAAAAAAAACAGTTATTGCCAATTTACCCAACTTTCTTTCATGTTGTGGTTCTTACAAAAAAATGTTTACTGTAATTAGTAGGATTGTTTTAATTTTTTGAAAATAGACCTGTACATTTCACATTTTAGTAGTGTGTGTATGTGTAAGGGAATTGTTTTGATACTTGTGACATTAATAACCACAAACACCCTTTTGGGGGGGATATGCCATTCAGAGTAACATAGCGTGAGCCACATAAATGCAATACATACATACATACATACATACATACATACATACATACATACGTACATTTCCTAACATTTAATCTTAAAATAAGCCATACTCGGTTCAAAATGTCAAAATTAAGGAAGGACACTGATCCACGCAAGATTCAGTAAATGAGTGGAAGTTGTGTTTTCCAAACCAATATATGTTTTAGCTTCTACTTATTGCATCAAAATGTAACAATATAAGAAACAAATTATGCTACTACAACACAACCACAGAAAATGCCTAATTCTCCATTAAGAAATGTAGGCATTTTGATTTCCTGGGGTTCACAACAATATAAACAGTATTTAATTGTTTATTAATCCTCCTGACCCTTCCACATTTCTGAATAAATCCATGAGTTATATCACAACTGTCACATTCATAGTAGAGCAACTGAAGAAGCTAAGTGGTCAGCCACTGAAATGTGTTTGACATATCTATACTTATAAAATCTGAGCATCAAAATTTGATGCATTTGGACAATCCCTGGGGAGAAAGTCCCAACTCTTTAAATGGCCATAAACAAATGCTGTCATCTAATCCAAACCATGGTGAGGAGGACCTTGTAAAGCCCAATAATCATTCCTAGAAAATGCTGGGGGGGGGGGGGGACAATGTAAACAAGGGGGGGACATTTTGAAAGGCAAGAATCAGTTTGGTGTAGCAATTAAGGCATCAGGCTAGAAACATAGAGGTTTATGAGTTCTAGTCCCACCTTAAATGTGAAACCCACTAGATGATCTTGAGACAGTTATTCTTTCTCAGCCCTATAGAAGGAGGCACTGGCAAACCACTTCCAAAATCTTGCCCTCCCCAAATGGCAGTGACTTGTCCAGGCAGTCGCTAGGCATCAACCCAAATTTGAAGGTACCAGGAATGAATGAATGAATGAATTTATGAATGAATGAATGAATCTGAAAGGCAATATGCTTGCAAGATTCCCCGTCTTGATCTTTACAGTCTCAAGACATAGGTAGGGAAGGGTCCTGTACCAGGCTCAGATAACAACAACAACAACAATAGCAATAATAATAATATCATAATATCATAATCATCTCATTTGCTGTGAACATTGTCATTTTTATGATGATGATGATGATGATGATGATGATGATGATGATGTAATGTTTTTTCCTGAAATCAAGTTCCTGGCCTGAAGAATATCTGCAGAAGTTTTTAATGGTGGGCATCAGTGAATCCAATACCTGGCAATAGCACAGATGGCAAGTAATCATCCGGGCAATGCAATAGACGCAATCTACATAGACTTCTGTAAAGCCTTTGATTCAGTGGTACATGACAATCTACTCCTAAAACTATAATTTATGGTATATCAGGACACCTGGATAACTGGATAGAAGCATTCCTGTCAAACAGACAATAAATGGTCAAAATTGGGAGCGTCCTATCAAATTCTGTACCTGTTAACAGTGGTGTTCCCCAAGGCAGTGTTCTAGGACTAACTCTTTTCATACTCTACATAAATGACCTCTGTGATCATATCAAGAGCAACTGTGTTCTCTTCACCGATGATGTAAAGCTATTAAAAACACCACAGACAATACTGCTACCCTTCAAAAAGACCTTGACTATGTATCAGAATGGTCAAACAAATGGCAACTTCCAATCTCAACAAATAAATGCTCTGTCCTACATATTGGCAAAAAAATAATAATCAGAAAATAAAATACAGGCTGAATAGTCAAGACCTTGTTGATGATCCAAACTCTGAAAGGGATCTTGGAGTACTTATGTACTCAATGATCTAAGTGCTAGAGCCCACTGTAACTACATAGCCAAAAAGGCGTTAAGAGTTGTTAACCTAATCTTACATAACTTTTTCTCTGGTCATATTACACTACTAACTAGAGCATACAAAACATTTGCTAGACCAATACTCGAATACAGCTCATCAGTCTGGAACCCACATTACGTATCTGATATTAACACAGTTGAGAAATATTTCACAAAAAGAGTTGTCCACTCCTCTACTTGTTGCAGAATACCTTATACCACCAGAATAGAAATTCTAGAACTAGAAAACCTAGAACTACGCTGCCTTCGGTCCGATCTAAGTATAGTATATAAAATCATATTCCAATGTCCTACCTGTCAATGAATACTTCAGCTTCAACCATAACAACCAAGAGCAAACAATAGATACAAACTCAAGGTTAATCGCAACAAACTTGATTGCAGGAAATACGACTTCAGCAACAGAATGGTCAATGTCTGGAATACTCTACCTGACTCTGTGGTTTCTTCCCCAAACCCCCAAAACTTTAACCTTAGACTGTTTACTATTGACCTCACCCCTTTTCTATAGGGGGTGTGCATAAGAGCAGCAACGTGCCTACTGTCCCTGTCCTATTGTTTCTTTTATTTTTTTATTTTTCTTATAAGTATCCATGTATTCATAACTATGTTTTTATTTATACCTATTATCTTGTAAGCAATTGACAAAAATAAATAAATAAGTAAGTAAAAACATCTGTATAGTGGTACCTTGGTACTCAACTACTTTGAAACTCAATCAAATTTTATATTCAACAAATTTTAATGCAACACTTATACAATTAAGCACAGTTAAGTATTGTCTGGTCTTAAAGCAGTTTTCGAAAACTTGGTATGTTATTTTTCAATTTAAAAAGTCAAATATCTATATGGACTATAATTGAGCATGAAGCATCTATTCCATCACTGAGTTGTGGCATTTTCCAAAATTTAACAAAATGCAATAGGAAAAGAAGGAATCGTACAAATTAACTGGGCTTTTTGTTCTTGACTTCTTACTCAATGACCAAGAAAACAGTTTTTTTGAATACATATAGCAACCCAGGCTTAGAAGTGAATTCCTTGCTTTTTGAAATCATAATCAATATGTCAGTGTCTATGAGAATTCATATTGATTCCTTTCACTTGAAATATTCAGAGGAAAAAAAATAAATCTGATGAACTTTTTTCCTATGTCAGTTCTGCCCACACCCTATCCTTTTTCTGCAGGTGTTTCAAAAAGATAAATATTGAGAATAATTTGAAAAAGCATTTATTGGAGAAGAATAACTGCCCTTAGACAAATCTGTAGGAAGATATACACTGTGGTTAATTCTCCCTTTGCTTGATGTTGACTCACAGTGGAAGGGTGTTTGTTTCTGAGCCCTATCCTTAGAGAAATCTCTTATGAGAATAATTAGGACTGCAGAAAAATCAATTACTACCAACCTGCCTTCCATTGAGGACCTGTATACTCCATGAGTCAAAAAGAGGGCTGTGAAAATGTTTACAGACCCCTCACATCCTGGACATAAACTGTTTCAATTCCTACCCTCAAACGACGCTATAGAGCACTGTACGCCAGAACAACTAGACACAAGGACCGTTTTTCCCCAAACGCCATCACTCTGCTAAACAAATAATTCCCTCAACACTGTCCAGCTATTTACAAAGTCTGCATTACTATTACTATTAATCTTCTC